TAAAAAAGAATAAATATAAATATAAATCCCAAACAGGAGAAAAAATTTTTATAAATAAAATAATAATTTTGAATAGTAGGAAATGATAATCACAACAGAATCTTTCCATATTTGATATAGTTAATATTTAGCCATTGTTTGATTCAGTTATAAAAATCTATTCAACAATTAATTTTAACTATACATTTCATTAAATTCGCAATTTTTCAATCATGCTTTCATCAATTTTTATCAAAATATACTAAAATTTGATTTTTAACCAAATCAAACTGGCCTTATATATTCAAATCCCATGCAATGCTTCAGAACATACTCCCAATCTAAGGAACCGAACATTTATGGGTTGTTCTCTTTGTATTTGAGTTTTGTGTTTTGAGTGTCCATTTTGAGATTGTAGAAAATGTTTTTTCTTTTCATTTTAAAAAAAATGTTTTGAAAACACTTAAAACGTGTTTTGAAAATTTTGACTTGATTATAACCGAAAACACCTAAAACGACAAATTTGTCGTTTTTGATTTTCTTTGTAAATTTTTAACTCATTTTCGAAAACTCGTTTTTGAAAATGAAAAAGAGAACGCGTTTTTACTATTTTCAAAAATCGAAAACAAAAAACGACTTAAAAATAGTAAAGATAACATGCCCTTAGTATTTACATAACCTCCTCACAAAAATAAAATAATAACAGTGATAATTAATATTATGTAAATAAATAAACAACTACATGTGCTGGAAAGTGCTATTTTTCAACTTTATGGTTAAGCAGTGGCACATTTGATGTTAGAAGCGACATTACTCAAAGTGGAAGGGCAAAGGACAGAGTTTGACTTGATTATAAAATGAAAGGCATGTAATTTGAGTAATTAAGCAACAAACACCCCCTTTCAATTATTTCTTTAAATTATAACATTATGATCCAAAATAATATGAACTTGCCCTGTTTGATTGGCGAAATTTTTCAAGAAATTAGGAAATTTTTTTTCGTTTTTCATTTTTTACGCTGTTTGACAGCCTAAATTTTTCACGGAAAATGTTTTCCCACCCCATCCACGACGTCAGCATTTTTCATGTGTGGGAAAATATTTTCCAGCCGATTGCTCAATTTTTTTTTTTTTTACAATGGAAACAAATGCCATAACTAATTGTAAAATTTTTTTTCACTTTAACGGACAATTTTCATGTAAAACAAAGTCAAACGAATACTAAATTTTGATTTAAAAAAAGAGTTTTTAGGAAACAATTTATTTATTTATTATTTTTTTTTTTGGTAATGGAAACAAATTT